ACTGTAGCCAATATATGGAATGAGCCCTGATGCCCTTCCATTAATCACTAGATCAAGAAATTATGGTTTATGTACAAACTGGCATTCTATGCATCCATCAGCAGGACTGATCTTGTACCATGGGAAGATTTGGAAAAGGATGTGGCACTGGAGGCAAAACTGTTTCCCTCACCACCTCTCCTATATCCCTACTTGTACAAGGAGTCCCTCCAGTTTATGCTACCTAGAATGTACTCATCATGTGGACATGCTTGTAGGTGTCTGATTGTTCTTTTTGACTGTAAGCATACTGTACAGATGGTTACAGTTAATGAGTAAGGTAATGAGTACATTTCCTATCAAGCATTGTTACCTCATCCTTTGTTTTTCCTGTTCTATCCCTTCCTTCCCCAACTCCTCCTCCCACCCCACCAGCCGAAGTTGTAAAGTTTGTTTTCCACATAGTGTCCTGCATGTCTCATTGTTACTGAATGTCCTTTGATAAGTAAAATCACTCATTGCTAGTGCACTTAGATAATGACAAGACATGGAAAGACAAGGAACACAACACAGAAGTGGCAGTGTTGGAGATGCATGGCATGCCAGCACTGATTGGGAGGCAGAGGCAGCTGCTGATCTGAGCATCAGAACAGTGTTTGTTACTCCCTAAGGTTCTCATAGATTGGTAGCGAATCCATCTAGACGTGGCCTTTTTGTTTTTGACAACTCTTCATTACTACATCCATCTAATTGTTGAAGTGACTATTTACTCTTGGTACATTTTAGGAAGGTCAAAATAAAAGGTAGATCTAGGAAAGTATTCACTTCCTGGCATTTGATTTTAAGTATAAGTATTTCCTCCTGATTCTTTGGTTTTCATTGAAATGTATTGTGGCATTCCCTTTTTTAATTTTAATATTAATTTGAGTCACTTTTCTTCGTTTTGACAAATGTTACAGAGTTACAAAGCTTATTTTTCAGAATTTGTTCCATCAAGACTTTGCACAGTTTTTTTCAGTATTCATTTGATTCCTCCTCTTCACTAGTTATTTACATTTGTTTATTTTGCATTCTCATTCTTTTCTCATTTTGAGGTGTATCATTAAGCTTTTTGAGATCTCACTTTCTCTTCCCCATCCTCCTGACATTTTTTTGGCTCTGGAAGGTACATACTCACAGCTCTACTAAGTTTCTTCCCTTAGTGGTACTCTTGCTGTATCCCAAACGTTCTGACATTCAGTCTATTCATTTAGACTACCTTGTAGGATTATTCAGATTCTCCCTTTCCATCTTCAGTCATTGTCATCAGTACTGTTCATGTGTTCATTGTTCATGTGTTTGCGTAATTTTGGTAATATCATTAGCTGTGGATTTCTGGTTTCATTCTCTTAAATATGTTTCAATAGTGGGACTTATTTCAACTTTCCTTTATTTGCTAAGATTTACTGTATGTCTTTTATGAAGAATGTTCTAAGGGCTGCTGAGAAGTGAGTATTGTGTAGCTAGTGGTTGAAGTACTCTGTAGATGTGTCTGAATTTTGCAGTTTTCAACAAAAGAATAGAGATGATGACTTGTAACAAAATTAATCCTCCCTTTCTTTGATGTCACCACATAGAAATCACTATGTGGCTCAAGCTAACCTTGAACTCACAATCCTCCCGCCCCCATCTCTGTCCACCACAGCCAACCGCTATGCCAGTTTTATGTCTGACAAAAGTTGAGCATGGGAAGAGTAGGTAATGCATGTGGCTTCCATGTAGCACAAACAGACATTAAACACAAGCACGGGTGCTTCACTATTCAATGCTGAAGATGGATCTTCCTGCCCTACAAGCTGATTGTGTGCAGAGCTTCCTTCCCAACTTTACGTTCAATTACTGAATTCTGGCAGTCTGAAATTGGCCATGATGGAGACAGTAAATATTTGCACCATGGAAATTGCTAAACATTTGGAATGCTGTCTTTTTATGGACCACCAGTTTATCTGTTCTTCACTGTACTATTCAGCCTTTGTAGTCACCACTAAATACAATGACTTATTTAAGAAATACACAATCAGTACACTTAGAAATATCTATCTAGTATCAAGAAAAACCATTCATTTGAATATTTGAGCTATAAGCCTTCTTCTTCTTGACACCTACTATATTTTGATAAAAACAGCTTTACTAATTCTGAAAGTGTGAGACATTCTTTTCTCAAATTCTATTCTTATGTCATAGCAGCAAAGTTTTAGAAGGGTAAAGTCAGTAAATAGGAAGCAATAATCAGGATTGAATGTATCATGACCAAGAATCAACATTATTATGTATGTTTTTGCCATTCTCTGGACAAGGCTATTAGCCAGAAGGCCGGGGAAATGGTTCATAAATGTTAAATATGCAATTTTTCTCTATTGCATTTTTCTTTTACCAAGTAGAATTTAAACATAAAGATACTATGGCTACTTCATACCAAGCAATTGATGCAAAGTGATGAACTTATTTACAACGTGAATCATGACTTATGAGAGGACAAATTTCTTTTAAAGGGAAGTCACATTAGAGGTATAGAGACATGAGAACATCACGTTTTCTTCCTTCTTTCTATTAAGCCGAAGCAAACTAATTGCTGTTTCAATTTTGTAAATCTACTGTCTTCCTGAGTTGAAAACTTAATTCATGTACATTAAATCAATAGGAGATTTTTTTTATTCATAAATGGGAAAAGTCAGGTTTGTTACTAGGATGTTCAGAAACTCAGGTAGCTGTGTATATTCTAAATTGAAGGCTGAGAAATATTTCTCCAAACATCTGACCCCTAAATCAATCAACCTAATAAAAAATATGCTAACATTCTTCAGAAAAGAAAAATAAGAGTTCTGAGAAAAGTGGCCACTATTCTGTAGTGGTTTCCCCTAAAAATGTCATTAGCATTTTTTAAAATTGTATTCAATTGTAAAGGTGATGTACAGAATGGTTATGGTTATATCGGTAAGGTAATGAGTACATTTCTTGTCTAACACTGTTACCCCCTACCTTGTTTTCTTCCACTTTCCCTTCTCCAGACTCCTCCCCTACCCCAAGTTGTAAAGTTCATTTCCAACATAGTGTCTTGTGAGCATTACTGTTGCATTGGTTCACCCGTTGTCCTTTGTCTCACCATTTTGTGATTTCCCCTTCCCTTCCTCAAATCAGATAAACAAATGCACAAGACACAGGGCACCAAGATCAAAGACAGTGATAGCAGGGAATAAGCCAAAGCACTTTATATATATTTTTAAAAACACTCTTTTTTTCCATAACTTGGAGGTCATATCAATTAGTACCATTAGGTTTTTAATTAGATCTAATTACCTAGAATAAAATTTTTGCCCAAAGAAGTAAACAGTTGTGTGGAGAAAAAAAATGCGCATTTCTTTACATTGCTGCCTAAATGGTAAGGGTTCTGGGGCCCCAAGAAAGGTGAGAAGTGTATAGAGATGGGCAAATGGAGAAACATTTGCACAGAAGCAACATCTGTATTCTCACTTCATCGCTTATTTACCTGTTGGACACTTTCATGTCCTAAATTAGTTTGCCTGATCTATGTTTCTCTGATAGAATTTTTCTCAGCAACGCAACTCTGAATCTGTTCTCAATCCCAAACCACAGAATCTTCTATTCTACTTCATTATTAATCACTTATTAGAAGTATATTTTGTGTCATGGGGTGTGTGTGTGTGTGTGTGTTTGATGAGTCCCATGTGCTGTGCTGGGAGAAGGGTCATGGGGGTTGGGGGGAGGCTAGCCAGCAAATGACAATGCAGCAAAGATGACTGGGCCTTGCATCGCAGCCCCAGCCCGAGGGCCTGTAGCCCAGGCCAGTCTAGAACTGGCTATGTAGCTCCAGCTTGTTTTGAACCCATGATTTATTCTCCTGCTGGGATCACAGGTGTAGACCACCACAGCCAGCACAGCTTTTCATGGGAAGGAAAAGCCAGCTGCACAAAATGAACTCATCAATCCCTTCAGCCCCCACCCCACCTCGCCAGTGCTGCGGTCAATGGCCCAGAGCTCCGGAGTGGTTGAGGGTGACCCCAGAAGCTGCGTTCTTGACAGACAGGACAGCATTTGGGTGGGACTAGTCAGATGGCTGCGTGGCTAACTGACTGACTTTACTCTGGTGGAGTAGTCCTCTCGTGATTGTGTTTCTGAACCCTCTGCGATCACAGCCAAAGTGTGGGGAACTTTTGCTCAGTAAGATTTCATTGAAATGTAGGAAGAAGATGATTGCCACAGCCTCAAGCTCCCTTTAGGCTAGGAAGTATTTGCTATGCATGGCCTCACTGAGCTGAAGGCAGCATGGCCAGTACTCATGGAGAGGAGCCCTGGGCTTAGGAGGTCCCTGTGCTGCCCAGTCCCAGAGAGCCTGCAGGAGCAGGGTGTACCAAAGCCACTGCAAACACCTGCGCCTCCCTGATCAGAATGCAAGAGTCAGCAGATATGATCCGAACAACACTAACTGCATGGCATGGAGACCTGAAGACGTCTGACACCTGCAGACCTGAAGGGCAGTGGGAAGTCTGGTGGAAACCCTGGTGACCACAGTTGTGTGCTGGGAACCAGGAAGGGTGACTTGTAAAACCATGCACCAGTTCCCAGGGGAGGTCCCACTCTGCCGCCAACCAAACTGGACAGGATATGTGGGGATGAGGCCACAGGAGCAGCTGTCATTTTGACTACCCCATTCTGCCTCGGTCACAAGATTCTGGCCACACCCCCCCATTTTTCCCGTTTTTCTGACCAATGGGATCCAAGAATAGAGGCCACGCCCACCTTCCATGCTGCCTAGTAGCACTGGTATTCCCTCAACTGACTCACACCACTACCAGGCGTGGAGGGAGGTAGAGGTACGGAGTGGTGAGGGAGCAAATCGAGGTGAATCGAGGTGACATAGTTGGTGCATCGAGGTAGATATAGTTGGTGGTGAGTGGAGAACGGACGTGACATCCAAGAGCCTGGGAATGTGGCCCCCACATCTTCCCCGTCCCAGAGCTGGGATGTCTGAACCAACACGACTGAAAAAGTTAGCCGCAGGAAAGAGACTCCTGGAAGAATACCAGCGGAGGAATGGTCCTGCCGGATCTGCAGAACCCAAGAGAAAGAAGAAGACTAAAAAAGGAGGTAACCCCAAGACAAATGCCGCCGGGGACGGTCATTCAGCTGAGGGTGTGGCCAAAGACCACGCAGGCCTTGAGCCTCCCCCGCTTCTGGGCACAGTTAGAGCTGCCCTGGTCAAGAGTGACCCAGGTCCCTCCACCACCGAGGACCTCGAAAGGTGCTACCAACACCTGGTGCTTGCCCTCGATGCCAGCAGAATACAAAACGAGAAGCTCTGCAGAGAGATCGACCTACTGAAGCAGGAGAATAAGGAGCTGCAGGAGCGGCAGGAGGAGACCGCCTGTATGCACGAGGCACTGGGAGCAGAGCGGGAGCAGTACAATCTATCAGTGCAGATGGTGGCTTCAGAAAAATCCAGTTTACAATCTGCCCTGGCCCACATGTGGCAGGTGGCTGATCGAAGAGCCCTGGAGCAGGACCACCTCATCAGCCGCCTGCAGGCTGTAGCGCAGCGCATGAGGGAGCTGGAGATGAAGCTGTCTGCGATCTCCACCACGGAGACTGACACCGAGCTCCACAACCTTGAGCTCATGAAAGCCCTGAACCGCGTGACACTGCAGCTCCAGCAGAAGAGCAGAAGCTGTGAAGAACTGGAATATGAGAACATTGAGCTGCGGGACAGGCTGGGCGCGCTCCTGACGCAGAAGGGCAACATGGATATACAAATGCACATGTGTCAGCAGGTGCTGGTGGAGCACGCAGAGTTGGAAAGACAACTCCAGAGCATGAGAGAGCTGGCCACCACCTTCAAGCTGGAGAGAGACTCTCTGGAGGAAGAACTGATGGTGGAGAGGTGTACAGGGAAGGAGAAGGCCTGGCAGCTCTTAGAGGAGGTGGGCAGGCTGAGAGAGGAGAAAGAGCAAGGGGCCAGGCAGGTGTTGGAACTGGAGGGTGAGCTGGTGGAGCTGAGAGTACAGCTGGCAGAGCTGCAGCGCCCTGTGGGACCATCTCAGGCTGAGCAGTGGCTGCAGGCTCATGCCCTGCAGTTGCAGAAGGAGCTCGAGACCCTGGAGGAGCACCTTCACCTCCAGGTGGAGGAGAACCAGAGCCTCCATCTCCAGAGCCTGGAGCAGCAGCAGCGGCTATGGCTACTGGAGAAGAAGGTGGAGGAATGGGAACAGCATGCCTCGGACCGGTGCAAGATCCTGGAGACGATGGAGAAGGAGCAGGAGAGCAAGAGACGCATGGTAGTGTGCAACCGCGAGCTGAAAGAGCAGCTGGCCCAGCTGCAGGACGGCTCGAAGAGGCTGAGCAATGAGAAGGACTCGCTCGCCTGCCTCCTGCACGCTGAGCAGCAGGAGAAGAAACATCTTCAGGAGAAGCTGGAGCATCAGGAGGAGACGTTCAAAGAATGGAAGGAGATGGCTGAATCCAAGCGCCAAGAGGCCCAAGAGCTGCAGGACCAGTCCCTGGCCCAGCTGCAGGAGCTCAGAGCCACCTGTGAGCAGCACCTGGCCACCCATCAGCAGCTGAGCACGGAGAAGGAGGCCCTGCAGCAGCACCTAAGGAGGCAGTCCCAGCTTCTGGAGCAGCTGCAGCAGAAGCAGGTGCAGAGCACATTGGAGGACCGGATGGTGCCTCCAAAGTTCCAGGACACACTGACGTGCCTGGAAGCCATGAGGCAGGAGAATGCGCAGCTGCGGTCCCAGCTGAGGCTCCTGACTCTCCCTAGAGAAGGCGAAGGAGAGAGCAGAGGGGATGACAAGGGGGAGGAGGCGGCTCCCCCTGCTGTGACCGTCCCAGAGGACGTGGACAACCCACATACCATGTGGGATTTTTACTGTGCAGCACTATCTATCGCTGAATCTAAGAAGGCGCAGCTCAGCCGTGAGCTGCAGGAGCAGCAGGCCCGCTGTGAGGGCCTGGCCCACCTGGCAGCACAGTGCCAGACAGAGCTGGAGCGCCAGGCCCTCTACCCCAAGACCTGGCACCACAGCGCACCTGGGGAGGGAGAGCAGGACAGCCAGAGTCCCACAAAGCGGCTGAAGATCTGCTTCACCTACGACCTGCCTGGCCAGGTGGACCAGCAGAGTCCAGTGGATGACCTCCCCCGTCGCTGCAGCCTGCTGTCAGAATGCATCAGTGCCATGGAGCAGGAGATGGCATCCTGTGAAGAGCAGATGGGCGTCCTGGATGAGCTGCAGCGTGAGAAAGAAGAGTGTGTCCGCCGGCTGATGCAGGAGAAGATGGAGAAGAAGAAGGAGCTGCAGGAACTGCTACTGTGCCTGACAGGGCAAGGCAGAGAGGGCCGGGACTCGATGCGGGCCGCTGACCTTACCCCTGCTGCAGAGGCCCCAGCAGACCTGGCGGGGCCCTTGCAAGGGGAAGTTGGGGAGGAGCAGGAGCACGGGTCTAAGGCGCAACTTGAAGACAACACGGAGCCTGCCCCAGGAGAAGCCTGGGTGTCTTGCCCCCAACACAGCCCCACCGCAGAGCAGGTGGTGTTGCTGCAGCCTGGCATCCAGCAGCACCAAGAACATGCAGGCCCGGACAACCAGGCCTCCTTCCCTTTCATCTATAGACTGACGCAAATGATTGGTTTGAGGTAGTTGCCATCCAGAGACCTGGAGGCTAACGCCCAGAGCACGGCTCCTGCCCTCCTTCACATACTTGGGGACATGGCCGCTGGGCGCCACTCTCTCAGTGCTTGTTAGGATGAGGGAGGGGCCAAAAGCGAGAGACATCTCCTAGTCCACTGGTCAGCAGAGAAAGGGCCGTGTGAAGGAGGATGAGAAGCGATGACACGGGTTTTGTATTAGCTTTTTGTAGTAGAGATGGTATTTTTATGAATCCCGTATTAGCATACTCACATTATTTTTGATATATTTGATGCTTTAGACTTTTTTCAGGAAAAGTTTGTATTTCCTCAAATGAGTCATCCCATTATTGAACATGATATGTTGGTGCATTCATGCATGTTTTTTTTTTTTTTTTAAATCATGCTCTGCACCAGCAACACTGAATTTTCTCATTTGTATTTTAATCTACTATGATGATAGGATACTGAGGGGTGAGAAACTGTGCATAATGTGAAGAAAAAGAAAAGGTCATTCAACTCGTTTGGAAAAATAATACTAATAGAACAAATGGAGGTGTCCTGTAGTGGAAAACATAAGCCAATAAGTACAGAAATGTATTTCAGAATAACATACTACACGATTATAGAACATCTATAATGAGAATAGCAAGTGTCTCCACTCTTCACTTGTGAATTGTTCAAGTGTATATGCATTGAAGCCAATAAAATATTTAAAGTCAAAAAGTTTATTTTGAATTTTTCACTCTGTTTGAACTCCACTCCTTTTACCCCATATTTGGGCTGGAACGGTGGCTCAGTGTTAGAGCGCTAGCCTTGAGCTGAGGAGCTGAGAACAGCGCCCAGGCCCAGAGTTCAGGCCCCATGACTGACAAAAACAACAAAAACCACCTCATAGAGCTGGGCATTGGTGGCTCATTCCTATAATCCTAGCTACTGAGGAGGCTGATATCTGAGGATCCTGATTCAAAGCCAGCCCAGGCAAAAAAGTCTGTGAGACTCTTCAATCAACCACTCCTCACAAGTGCAATTGTGGGTCAAGCAGTAGAACACGAGCCCTGAGTGTAAAATCTGAGGGAAAACATTCAGGCCCCAAGTCTAAGCCCCAAGACTGACCAGTACGTACACGCATGCATAGAGACACACACACACACACACACACACACACACACACACACACCATGTATGCCCAACTCAATCCTTGTAACTATTTTTGTCACTTGTTTATAGTCTTTACACTGCTTTGAGTTGCCTTTCTAAAGCACAGATCTAATCATGGCATTTGTGGAAACACACACACACACACACACACACACACACACACACACACATAACATAATGGACATCTTGCCTTGGCATAAAGTCTGAACTTCACATATGACTTAAAAGTCACTAACCTAGGCCTTTAACATTGTGTATTTATTCAACAAATATCTCTGGAACTCTCTGGACCTGGCCAGAGACTACATGCCAAGGAAGATCTGCAAATGAGTTTTGTGCATACACATTAGATGAATAAACAAAACATGAAATGACAATCACTATGAGATTAATAGATGGTAGGCTTTGGCATGTCTTAGGGGTAAGGTAATGGAATTCTGTTAAAATCTACTCTGTTTCTAAATATCACTTTTATCAGGAGGAAGGATGTTTCAACAAATGAAAATGTATGTCCCCAGGAATAACAACAAAAAATAAGGTAAATTCACTGAACTAATTGTAAAGGGTTAAAACAATGGTGCTGGATGATTTTATATTTTTAAATCATTCTCTCCTGTAATTTATTTTTAAGTCATTTCCTAATTAAAGTATAATTTGGGGGGTATGATGAAAGAGTTCTATAATGTGTTAGGGTATATTATGTATTTGTCAAAACTTGCCACAGTACTTATTTAAAATCTAAACTTTTTTTCTTGAACTCAGGGCCTGAGAGCCATCACTGAGATTTCTTTTGCTCTACCACTAGTGCTCTACCACTTGAGCCACGGTGCTACTTCCAGCTTTTCCTCTGGTTAATTGGAAATAAAAAGTCTCAGGACTTCCCTGCCTGAACTTTGTTCAAACCATGATCTTCAGATCTTAGCCTCCTGAGTAGTTAGGATTAGAGGCATGAGCCACTGGTGCCAGGCAAATCCTGTACCTTTATATGAGGTATATTATCTCTGTATTTCTAAAATATGATCTCAAAATATAAAAAATGGCCTCTCCCATGTCAGTGTTACAGAACTGAATGGTGCATTATTTTTCTCTAATCTTATTTAAAATGAATGAGATCCATCATGGCAGGGGGTGAGGGTGGTAGTTGAATGTCTGTAGGCTTTATCACAACATACAGAAAAAAAGAGCTTGAAAAGTATGCAAGGACATCACAAAACAACTTACGGCCGTTTTGTTAGAAAAATCACCATGGCTTCAGTGTGGAGAACTTTAGAGGCTGAGCAGCAGGGATATCATTAGGTGACTAATGGGATAAAGAAGGAAAGACCCAGTCAGCAGCAGTAGGATTCTTGCAGGGACAGAGAAGAACCAGCTGCTGGCTGGCAAGGCAACAACCAGGGGGTGAGGGAAACCATTTTCTAAGAAAGTAAGCAGACTGAAAGGAGCTTTCAAAGGAGCTGACTTTGAGACGGATGTGTGTGGTGCAGCAGAGGTCTCATGGCCTGGGACCTTAGTAAGGGCAATGCCAGGAATTAATGAGTTACAGTTCAAGAGAAAACAGAAGTGAGCTCGTGACTTGTGGAAATCCAAGTGGACAGCGGGCAACGTAAGCCTGGAGAGGAAGAGTAGCTAACATGGAATTCGGATCCTCGAGGTCGACATTTACAACCGGTTGGGGAAGTAAATAGGGAGTTAAAGCTATCAAGGAAGTTGCCATTCTATTGCGTTGCTGTCTGTATTCAGAAGTAAAGCATGTTTGTGTGGGATCCTTGCAAGTCCGGGACAAGGCCTGTTTCTATACTGTGTAGTAGAGCTAGCACTGTGGTGGAGACTTGATTCCATCACCTGCATTGGAGAAGCCTTTTAATGTACTACTGATGAAGGCTAGGAAAGGTGACTAAGTGTAATACCTTAGTTCTCTATGGATGACTTTAAAAATAGGAGGCTGTTAGTCTAGATCCTCTGAAGACAGATACCAAGACAAGATTTGACATGCCAGAGACTTATTGGGAAACTAGAAGGAGAGGTGTAGACAGTGAGGAGATGGGAAAAACTATCTGATCTCGGTAAACCGAAGTCAGGAAGGAGGGGAAGAAATCAGCAAAGCAGGCAGAAAGGAAGTCACAAAAGCAGATAGGAAAGGAGGCCAGCAAGCCTGTAGACAGGAACCAGACTCTAATGAAGCATTAAGAGAGGGATGGAAGTGGAGCTGTGTCTCAAGTGGTTGAGCACCAGCCTTGAGCAAAAGAGCTAAGGAACAGGACCAAAGCCCTGACTTCAGGCCTTAAAACCAGTCATACACACACACACACACACACACACACACACACACACACACACACACACACACACATACACACAAACACACACACACAGAGGAAAGAGAGGGTTGTATTTAAAAGGGTAATTTTCTGGCATTTTCCATTTTTATCACCTAGCTGGGATCTCAGGGTACTTAATAGAGAAAGTGATTTAAAATTGGACAGCGAATGGTACAATTATACTTCAATATATCTCCTGTAGATACAGAGGAAACGTAAGTGTATCTGGCTCATGTCAGGGGAGGGAGACGTGCTGGAAGGTTTACCTTAGTGTACCATCTCTGGTATATCTTACACTCTTGAATTAGCAGGTGAATGAAACATTCATAAATCAGATATGACTTAGTGAAGTTTATAAAATGGATTTTTTTTCATTGGGAAATAATTTCAAATTTACAAAATGTTATGAAATAAAAAGAGTACAGTGTTAAAAGAGTACTGAAATACACGTTCTATATCTAGATCAATCTTTGTTGATATGCCACGCTTTTTGTCGTTGTTTTTTAAACCTTTTTCTTCCAATAGGGTAAGCTGCATATCTATCACCATCCTTCAGTGTATATTTCCTAGTGGTAGGAAGATGATGTTACCTAATGTATATTTGAAACAATGAAATAAGCAAATCTGTCATCTGAATTCCTGTTTAGTCAGTTTGCCCAATAATACCCTGTCGTTTCCTTCTGAAGAATAGGACTCAGGAGAGGGCCAAATAATGCATCTTGTTGGCATATCTCTAACCTGTTTTAAACTACAACAAGAAGTAGCCGTTATAAACAATACACCTGATGTATTGAAGAACGTGCACTTCGAGGAAAAGGGCTTGGCTGGTCCTGAGCACTGCCCAGAGCACTACCTCGTTCACGGGCTCCCCCCATAAGTGGTGAGAGCATGAATGAGGGTGGGTTCACACTAGGCATGAGTGACGTTGGTCTTGGTCATTTTAAGTATTCCTGTCTATAATCTGAGTGTTGTTTTGTAAGTCTAGATCTGTGAGCTCCCGTGCCTGTGTGCAAACATGTGCCGGCCTTAAGTGTACTGGGAGTGTCCCTCCGGGTGCTCCCTTCCCTGTGCGGTTATGATAAATACCTTCTCATCCCTCCATCAACTTAAGCCTTTCAGCTTGCCTGGATCTGAAATGGAGATCCAAATTCTCTGGCATGAGGACTGGCCTTCCTTGAGACTTTCCTCTGGCCAACGCTAAACATTTACCCCCTTGTCAGGGCTGTCATGAATCTTGGAAGTCTAGGTATAACCAGACAACACGTTAAAAAACAACAACAACAAAAGATGGCTCCTGGCTGGTCTGTCAACATGCTGACTGCCAGGCTGTCCTTGTGGTGGGAGTCTTGCCTCATGACCCAACTTCAGTCCTGGCTTTATGAGCAGGATGCCCAGGCAGACTGTCCAACAGCCAGGGAAAGCCCCAGCTTGTTCCAGAGGGCCAGGTACCTCTTTCCCACACTGCAGCGCAGCTGGCTAACGGAGCCCAAGGAGAGCCTGCGCTGCTGTAAAGCATGCCAAGGATCTCCTTTAA